GTTACTCGCTAGAGGAATCCAAGTGTCTTCCCTCTAAACGTATCCACCCTATGAAGCCCGGTTCCGACGACTTTCCTTCGCTAGTAGAAAAGACTCGGTTTTCTTGTATAGGAATATTTATGAATTTTATTTGGGAATTTTAAGAACTCTTTCTTGAAGTTTTATGAAGAACACTTTCTTCTCTTTCTAACACTTAGAAATTTAGGATCAAAAACTTCACTTAAATGCAAAACCGCGAAGGATGATTTGGGGAAGGATGAATGGAGGCAAGAAAGAGACCATTCCGACGAAAAAACTGATTTTGTAAGTTTGTATTCTCTGCAACGCACCCATATTGGGGGTGCGCAAAAAAAAAAATTGATTGTTTACATCCTTAAAACTTGTTTTGTTTTTGAAGTTTGTAATATTTTTTATTATCTGAAAATTTTAAATAACTATTGGTTGTAATCTTAATTCTTTCAAACTGTTCCAAAACACAGGTAGTTGAGTCCGGTGATCATGGTGTTCCACATGAGGATGTTGTGGATGAGAATGAGGGTATTGGCAAAGTTGGCCCCTCGCAGGATGTAGCTGCTATGACTTCAGATCCGACAAAAGGGGGTGGTTTGACGGATGGTGATGGTGATGGTCGAATATTACGCGTTAAGTTCAAAACTAGCAAGCTTTCCTCACCATACGTTGACTACCGGGAGAAGAAAACTGAGAAGCAATTACAGGTGAAATACGAAAATTGGAAGAAGGAGAAGAAATCTCCAAAGTAAGTAGCATGTCACTTGTTAGATTTTTAAAATTTATAGCATATGTGTGAATTTTCTAAGTTAGATTCTCTTAACATGAAGCCATATTTCTCTTTCATTTATTTTTTTGTTAGGTTAAACGTTGGGCTAGAACCTACTTGGTATCAAGGGCCAAAATATTTTAAAGCAATTGAGGGTGTCAGGACTATGCTTTCTAATGAAGTAAGCAATTGTTCCTTAGAATTCAATCTCAGTACTTGAATGTAGTAGTTCAAAAAAATAATATAATTTATAATTTTTGTAGCATATCGATCCGTTTTTGGACGTGCTTTCTCGGAGGTTGTACAGTGGGGTCAAATTGAAGTCGGGAGTATCTGCTTCAAGAATTAACATTCAGGATTGCGCTCTATTTGTAATTGCTCTTTCCATTGATTATATTTTTTGCTTAATTAATTTATATTTTCTTGAATGATTCATGTTGATGCTTAATACTTATTTTCAGCGCTTGTTGTCAGATCAATGGAAACTGCTTCATCCCGACGATCCTCAATGTAGGCAGATCTATCCAGACGACGCAAATTATGAGAGATGGAATGTTCCTCCGGTTCTGGTCAAATATGTTCGTGGTAGTGCTATTCGTTGGGGATCTCCTTGGCATACAAATCCCGATGTAAGTTTTTCTTTTGTTCGTGGTCAATGTAAATTACACAAATATAGGTGCACATGTGACAAGAATGGAAGATATTGCTTTACATTATTCTGCATTTTACTCTTTCGTTCTGATTATGTAGCTGCTATGTACAACGAGAAGAGTGTATATGTTTGGTTTATCGACATGTTCAGTAGATATGGTGTTTGTTTTATTCAAAGGCTGTGAATTTGATACAAGTACTGTTCTTAAAATCCATGTTTTGGTACCTTCGTTTTGCATTGTGAGCAAATTTTGCATTGTGACCACAGTTTGTTGGTAGCAATTAATTTTCTCATAAATGAAGTCTGTAATTTCTCTCAACCCGTATTTATTATATGTGAAGTTGAAATGTACTTGTAACATTTATAACATTGTTGGTTTGTAACTCCGGATGACAGGTCATTTTGGTATGTAATGTTGACGAACATTGGGTGGTGTGCCGGGTACGGTTATTGGATTGGGAGATCGAGCTTTACGACTCCTTAAGCCACCTTTCATCATCGAAGGCGAGTAATGACCGAAAGCTTATGTTGACCCCTCTCCGACGACTACTTCCTACACTACTTCACCGGTCCGGTTACTTTGAAACTATGAATATTCCGCCCAAGTTAGATGCCTTATCGATTAAGAGAATGCCGAGTGAAGTTCGATTTGTTCAAGAGGATATCCATAATTGTGGTGTATTTGTTTGCATGTACGTTGAACGTATGCTTGGCGAGGACATTCCCCGGAAGCCGGACATAAGTCTATATAGACGGAAAATGGCATTAGCAATTTTTGGTCATAGTATTCCCGTGTCGAAGTAGTGTCATCTTTTGTTGTGGATTTTTGTTTCTATGGCAATTAAGCGTACTGATTCGTTTCTGGACGTGAATGTGCAGCATAGTTAGTGAAATTGTGATAACATTTTCAAATATTGTGTTGCTATTTTTTTANCTATGGCATTTTTGGTCATGTTGATTTGCAGTGCAAAATTGCTGCACAGAGAAAAATCATGATAAAGTATAAATCTAGTTGTGAACATGAACTTGAACATGACCATGACCATAAGACGAGGTACAAGTATATGATGATGTGCAAATCAACAGAAATCACCAAAATCAATAGCAAAGCAAAATAGCCGCACTCATTGTCACTGGTCACCAACTAAAACAACAAAAATACAAGTCATTGTGCGTCCGGTGCTGGCGGTGGAGGATTGCTGTTACCCGCACTCCTATGGGTATCCCACTGGCTGAAACGGGTATCCCAAGTGCTCCACTGCTGGTACTGCTGGTCCGCCCAGGTGTCCCATTCGTTGTCATGGGCTGTCCAGTGCGCCTCATTGCACTAAACAAACTCGTTCCACCTCCTGGTCTGCTCCGTCCAACGTGCATCGTTGGACTCCACGAACGACGTCCAACGCGCGTCGTTCTGCTGGGTGAAAGTCGTCCAACGTGCCGCATTCCAAGCCTCATACTCGGAGAACCAAACTGGGGCAGCCGACTGGGAAGACGTACCCGTGGGCGCGTCTATCGATGGAAGAGGCAGAATGGTCTCGTGAGTGGGATGTCTGCCGGCTGTAGGGTCGTCCCCGTCCTCATCATGAAAGTTCTCGCCGGCTGGACCGGCCGATGTACCGGCTGCTGGTTGGGACTCGTCATCCGGATAGGGTATACCCATTTCCTCGCAATATGCCTTGTAGCTCGCCCGCTTGGTGACGGGATTCGGGGTGTGTGGGTTGATCAGATAGCCGGCATGCCAGAGGTCCTTTCGTGAAATCGGTTTCGCACGGATTGGAAGTTCGTCGGTCTCAACCCCAAAGTACTCTGCTAACTTGGACACCACATGGCCCAAGTTCGGACCACGCCTCGTGTCGTTGCGTATGTCGAAAAGGGTGTCCTTCAGGTATTGCAGCATGGTCACCGGCTTGTCGTGAGAAATCGACCACAAGATGAACACCTGCTGCTCGCTCACTGATTAGACCTGAAGATGGCCCCGATTTCTTGTATGACTCGCAGGGGGAGATGACTGCCCAATGTGGGTCAACTTTGAACCCCATGGGGCTGTGGCGTGACGCGATTGAGGAATCAAACTTGTAGATGTCGCTCAACACCTTGTCGGTTATCCTATATTCCTTGCCCTTAAGTCGAGCCGTGAGGTACCTTCCGTTCTCGTGCTTGGCGACTGTGCTGAAGAATTCCAGAGTCAAATACCGGTAAGCATACGCCTCCGTATCCTCGAATTCCTCGAGATCGAGCAACTTGATGTAGCGGAAGATATCGTCACCGATCTCGAGCTCGTCGTTGAAATACTCCCAATCGAGATAGCGGGGAGCTAGAACGGGCCTGGCGTGAAGCCTTTGGTACGCCTGGACCTCGTCCATCGACACGACTTCAAAGGGAATACCGTGTTGTTGTGCTAAGGACAAGGCCGGGGCTGCCGGGTTGGGGTTGGCGCTCGTGGAGGCTGCCGCTTTGCCCTTTGAAGTTGCGGGAGCCTTCTTCTTCGAGTTAGCTCTGCCTTTAACCATGATTGTTGTTTCGGGCAATTAATCGAACACTTGGCGTGCGGAGTTAGGGCTTGCAAGCTTGTGAACAATTTGCGATGGTACGGGCTCAGAATAGGCTTCCTCACGCCACAACAATCAACCAATTCGCAGTTAAGGGAAGCTATCGATACCTCTCGGTGAGAATTCGGGCCGTAAAAGAGCGATTTGACGAACTAGGGTTCGGTGGAGAGCTCGGTTTTCCCGGATTGAATGTGAGTTTAGCCGGAGGTGGGGCGCCGGTTGTGGTTGGTCGGAGGTAGCGCCGTTGGTGAGTCGCCGGAAACAAGAGGACGGTCGGAGATGGCGGTGATTCAAGAGGTAGGGTTCGGTGGTGATGGATTCACGTAGACGACAAAGTCGACGGAGGATGATGGTGTGTCGAAGGTCGTGATGTGCAGGCGACGGTCGGTCGGAGGTTGAATGACTGGCGGTGGTCGTCGGTTGGTCGGAGATGAGGTGCGGTGGAGAGGTATGGTCGAGGGTTGTGTTTGAGAGATGAGAGGTGAGTTATGTTGAAGAGGCTCGTCCTTTTTTCATCAAGTACCCGACCTTAGCGGCGCTAAGGTGCCTTAGCGGCGGTAAGAGACCCTCGCGCCGGGAGCTCGGCACAATTCTCGATCAAGGATATGCTCGGTTACAATAGTGTGTTTTCCCGGCACCACACACAAAATTGGGCAATTTTAGTGACTAGGCATAACGGAGTTCACGCACGACTACACCTAGATCGTTAAAAAAATATAAAAACAAACAAATTATAAAACGATGATTACATTAACATAACAAAAATACACAAAACAATTTGTCCCACAAAGTCATTAACCACACACAAACCATTCATACAAATAACATCCCGATTGTGTATTGCCACAAAAAAAAAAAAAAAAATCATTAACGTTGATTACATTTGCACTCGTGTGCAAGTGCGTCTAGTATGGCCGGGTTGTCTACATATTGCACACCTACGAACTTTTTTTCCCGGCGGTGAAGCGATAGTTGAGGGATCAACTTGAGGGACAACACGACAACAAGTCGTGGAGTAATGCCCACGTTCATTACAACGTGTGCAAACTGATGATTTCCCGGAACTTGAAGAAGGCCCAGTGGATGGTATACGGATCATCCTTGGTCATCCTTGGGGTCCAAAAATGATTTCTGGATCATAGAAATCGTTTCTTGTCCCAATTCCGAGTGAATCCCAGAAACGATTTCTGGTCCCAGAAATCGTTTTCGGAGCACAGAAAACCAAAAAATGATTTCTGGTTTCAGAAATCGTTTCTGGACCCCAGAAATCATTTTCCGTACACCAGACATCATTTCTGGATCCCGGAAATCATTTCTGGAGTCCAGAAACGATTTCTGAGGTCCAGAAACAATTTCTGAGGTCCAGAAATCGATTTCTGGAATCAGAAATCGTTTCTGGAAACCAGACAAACATCATTTCTGATCCCAGAAATCGATTCTGGAGTCCAGAAACGATTTCTGAGGTCCAGAAACAATTTCTGGAATCAGAAATCGTTTTGTTTCTGGAACCCAGAAATCGTTTCTGGACTCCATAATCGATTTCTGGTCCAAGAAATCGTTTCTGAAATTTTTACGATTTCTGTGGCAAGAAACGATTTCTGGGACACTGAAACGATTTCCGGAATCAGAAATCGATTTCTGGGATCAGAAATCGTTTCTTGACCCCAGAAATGATTTCTGATCCCAGAAATCCAAAATTTCCAGAAATGATTTCTGGTAGCAGAAACGATTTCGGGGGTTCAGAAATGATTTTCGGGGTCCAGAAACGATTTCTGATTCCAGAAATGGTAAAATCCCATAAACGATTTCCGGGGCCCAGAAACGATTTCTGAACCGATTTCCGGGTTCAGAAATCGTTTCTGGGGCCTAGAAATAGTTTCTGGACACCAGAAATAGATTTCTGTACCCCAGAAATTGACGATTCTTTTTTTTTTTTTCACTATCTTGATTTTACAGCGATTTTCTTCAAAAAATTGAGTGTACGAAATTGACCCATTAGAAAAAACATGAAAAATTGTAAACATACTTTTAGACTAATATTTCCGAGATTTTCACGTAATGTACCGGATTTTTTAGATATGAAGAGAGTAATGCTTTTTTTTTTAGTGAAATAGAGAGAAATATTATAGAGGGAAAAGAGAAGAAGGGAAAAGAGATGAGAGAGAGATTAGATTGAGGAAGAGAGAAGAGAGAAATATTTGTAGGGTATTTGAGTGTTTTTGAATTGGAAAATAGATGAGAGAGAGAGAAATATTTTGTATTTATGATTTTCTTTTAAGAAATTAGTTAGTAAGGGTAATTTGGTATTTTTAAGTGCCAAAATGACTAAAAAAGATGTTTTTCTAACATCAAGGCTAAAATTTGTGTTTTCTATTTCTACTAGGCTAAAAAAAAATTCTCTGTTTTAAAAATCCAATAAACATAAACTTACATCTAGGCCATTAGCCATTTCTTTACACCTGTAGGCCTCTTTTCCATTTTTAAAAATCAAAACTTTTTTTTCCTTTTCAATCTCAGACATCCAATCCAAGGAAGGAGAAAGAGCAGCACAAGCTCTAAAGCCCGGCGAAAGCGAAAGCGAAAGCTCTCAGGCGGAGATAAGCGNTAAAAAATCTGTCAAAGCCGCCGAGAACCCGCCGCAGCCGCCTAGTCCCCGCCGAAACCGCGTAGCCGCCGTGACCGCCAAGGCCGCCTAACTCCGCTTAGGCCCGACTAGGCCCGCCTAGCCCGCCTGGCCGATTTTAGCAAATCGTGGGCGGTGCACCGCCACCTAGCGCCTAGGCGGCCGCCTAGACCGATTTTTAGAACAATGGTTTATACTATGCATATTCACGTATTCACCTTTATGTCCAACGCGGAGCATAATTGCACTCCAAATATTGCGCATGATAATTACAGTCTAAAAAAGATGATTTTTACAAATGGTGGCTAAAATTTGTGTTTTGAAAACTTATTTGGCTATTTAATAGTATTAACACTTTTTAAAAACGGAAAAGAGGCCTACAGCTGTAAAGAAATGGCCAATGGCCTATATGTAAGTTGGGATCTTCTATGGTCAGGTACCCCTCGTATATACTTAACATCAGATACCTCCTTATTGGCCATTAGATTGATTCTAAATTGAATATCAACCACATATTTAATGTACGAGGCCAAAAAGAATTTGCCTCGTACATGTATTGTCTCGTACTTGACTCGTACACCTCGTACATGGCAAAAAACCTATAATACCCCTGTATCATTAAACATTAAAATAATTTATAAAATGATAATTGTATTTATTTTAAAGACCTTACATTTATATTATTTGTATAACAATCCTTCAAACACAAAAATATATCATCAAAACGTTAAGAATTAATCTTCAAAAAATCAACATCAACATCAATATCTCCTTCTTCCTCCAAACCTTGAGTCGGGCCCAATCCCAAGCCCCTCCCACACCCGCCGCCCCGCCGCCGGCCTCCGACGATTGCACGGTCTGGATCTGGGACGCACGTGCCGCCGAGTGCGTCAAAACTCTTAAGGGCCATGCCGACATGGTCTTATGCGTGAATTTCAACCCGCAGTCCAACCTGATCGTCTCCGAAAAAAACAAAATCGAGGGCATCCAGAATTCGCTATTGACTTGTTACCCGAACCTACCCCACCTCTCGTCCTTTACGGTGACTGCAGCCTACGTGTGGGCCTGTTTGACCTAAACCGACGGGAGGAAAAACCAGAATGAGATCGACAACTGTGTGGAGCATTGCAGTGTGCCCGTGATGAATGCCCAGAATCTTGTCGAAAATGAAATAGCTAGATTTCAGGTAAATGCGTGTGTGTGTGAGTTTTAGTATTTTGTTCAAAATGAATCTTTAGAATTGTGGGTTGGGTTTGATAATCGAGATGTTCTCTCTTATAAGCTGAAGTAAGTTGTTTCTCATGATTTCTTTTTTATGCTAGCGGTGAACTTGATTTGGAACAGTTTTATGCTTTACGATGAGATGCAGTCTGTGGGTGATTACTGAAAAATAAACTATTGTTACTGGTGCATTCTATCTATGGACAATTCTTAAAGATGCTGTCAAGTTATTATTAGCAGTGAAGCACTATTTGTAGTTATGAGGTTCTATGCTTATGCTTCCCATATAAGTGACTAATATTTTAGTAGCAGAATGTGTTTGTCGGGCTTGTTGTGTTTGTTATCATTTTTCACTTCAAGTGTGCATTCGACTATCACGGTGTTCCCGACGTTGAAAATCGCATCTTCCCCTCCCAGCAGTTTACATGTCCTATGTCGTGCGAACAGCCGTGGACACCTTGTCAGGGATTGCCGCCAGGTACCTGACCACCGCCACCGATTTGATGAATGTCAACAGCATGGCCAGCCAGCATATTAAGGATGATGATGTTCTTGCAATCCCTTTGTCTGGTTAGTCATTTTTCTCTCTTACTTTCTATATACAAAAATGATCTTTTTACCATTTTTATTTGCTTTATGGGTGGTTTAGTTGGTATTGCATTTGGTGTTTTATATGGTTTCTAATTTGTATGGTATTATAGACAATTATGAACTGATTTTGATGTGGTATTAATGATGTGTTGAAGAGCTAGTTAGGGAATTAAGTTGTTCTGGTAATCTGGTAATGATTTGTAGTTGCTTTCTATGTTATGTGCAGGGGAATAGATGTACAAGGCATGAGGAAGTAATGTTACTCAGGAAGGTTGCAAAGTATCCTGCAAAGTAAGCACCAAGTGTGTACTCTTTTATTTGAGGCCCAATGGGACTATTGCGATAGCCTGGACTGATTATTTAAGACTTACTCAACTCTATATGTGATCTACGTTTTATTAAAACCTCATAGACACCAGCAGCCTACGATGTGTCAAATAAAAATAACTGAACATTTTTTAAGGAATGGTCGTTGTGAACATCAAAGTTTCCCTTGGATAGCATTGTTTATAAATCAAAAGTTAATAATATCTCCTTCATGTTTGTTGCTATTTTGGTGTAGATTTTTCCTGACCTTCTCAATCCAAAGAAAGCATGTAGCTTTTTTTTCTAAATAAATCTAAAATATTTTGTGAAAGAATAGAAAAAAGAGAACCAAACAATGTAAATTGAACTACTAGGTATGTCTATTAGTGAAGAATCTGATTCTATTGGCAGTTGTTAGAGTGACTGGGTGGTAAAAGAAGCTGAAATCCATGTAGATGATGGAGTTCTCTGAGCTTGTGTTTGTTGTTCAACTAGTAAGATTACAGATTACTAATCCCTTTTCAGGACCCGAAGAACTGATTCTCAACTTAGGGTCTTGTTACTAAAGTATAGTTATAGAAGAAGTTGATTTGTGTAAACAACCAGTCATAGGAGGTATATAGATCACTGGTGGAGGCGTGGCACGTTCGGCCGTGAGATCGGCCATGCTGCGGCTGAGATCCCACACACCGCCGCTTTACCTGGGGTCTTCGTACGTTGAAGATAAGAGATTTCATATAAATCTTTTGCTCCACTGAACATACTGTTTACTCTATTTAATACCTTGGCCAATCATTGATGGACAATCACAAAATTTTTTTGCAGTTTTCCTTTATAACATTTGAGTTAACTTTATGCTGGTTAACATGCCGAGTTTTAACTCATGAGAACTCTGCTTTTGAAAACTTGGAGAAACAAGCAAACCATGTGTGTGACAAATTGTACCTTTTTTTGTGCTTGATAAAATCTGAATTCCATATTTCTGTGACTGTGTGTATTTTTAGGTGATAACATGTAGTTTATGTTTATTGATTTAAATGCCTGTGCAATTTTGTTTGAATGGAACCAACTCTATGAATGGTTAACTGTTGACCCAATCGAACAAAGTGGGGCTTGTACTGCGATATCACTAAAATTTGTGACTCTCCTTTTTTCTTTCTTCTTCCTGATCCCTGTTAATGGATGCTTTTAAATTCCAACTGGCATGTTAATATTTCATTATCTCTGGTTTAATTCACTCAGTGAAGTAATTATGAAATGATTTTTATCTTATGTGTGCATACAGGCACGTTGTTGATTTATATATTTTGGACTTCCAATCTGGGTTGAGGGCATTGGCGAAAACTAGGTATGGTGCACGGGCTACACCACATGTGGATGAACCTGTGGTGGTTGATGCAGCTTGCTATCAGTTGTGATTTATGTTGAGAAACTATGTGAAATTATATGGGAATGTGTAATTGATGAAGAACTTGACCGTGCCATAGACTATGTGATGCCGGTTCTGCAGATAATGAAGAAGCATGTCGTGTCATGAGTTGCTCTTAGCAACATGAATACTAGCTCTGTTTTATTTGTCTAGTTTGTCAAATTGTGTAGAAAAGTCACCGATGAATTGTTGAATCGGTGTACATATGTGGCATTCCCAAATCATGTATTTGTATGACTGGATATGTAAGGTGCGGTTGAGAGTGCTCATTTTGTTTTGCCTCACACAATATCAACCCAAAAACTATCACATACAATCAAGTTCGCAATATCAACAAACCCAAAGCACAGCCAACAATAGTACTCGATCAATCAAAGTTCCAATAGTAATAAGACATATTCAACAACCTCAATAAAATTCCCAGTATTAATGAACTAGACATACAATCAACCATAATCATAGTACTCAATCAACTAAGTATGCATTTATTTTCAATGAAAATATTTTATTAGAAGATGATGAAAAATTTATTCAAACGGGACTTATGAATATAATCAAATCACAAGAACTAAAACTATAATATTCTTTCATTTCATAACCAGTCTACCACCTCAAGCTTATGATATTCCTCCCCTGCAATGGCATCCTCCATAACCACCACAAGATCTATAATACCACCTCCCTCCAAAAACAACTTCATCATTCGATACACGATCCCTTACCCCTTCTCACCGAACTTCCTCACAATCGCCTGGTAATCAGTCCCATACTCTCATGGATTCATAGAGGCCTCGTAAAATTCCATGTCACCGAAAATGAACAATCTCTTAATCATCCGACCCACGTTTAGTTTCCCGTCCACCGCCACATGAAGCAGCAAGTCAAACACCTTCTTCCCGCCCCAATCCATACACCTCACAAACTTCGACCTATCCTTCAGTTAGAACCCTTGAAAGTCTGAAGTTCGGGACTTTCGCTGAACGTAATCACTTTCCCTTTCCAAGGCTCCTCACTCAATTCAAACACCAAAAGCCCGAGAGCAACCGATACCTTCATTTGAATCCAGGTCTTACTATCCGACACATCACAGACTGCCAAGCAATTATTCAGCTTCCCAATCTTCACCATGTCATCCACTATCCTCCTTCACTGAATCTCTCTAATGAACTGGTGCATTTGTAGAAGAAAATAATATTAGAAAAGTAAAAGTAAAATAATCAAACGAACTCTACAGGATGTGTTAGAAAGGGTAATAACTAAAATCTACTACCACTTTCAAAGGTCTTAACCAATTACCTTCTAAATATTTCAGCCAAAACAACTTCAACAATTTACTATACTTACATGTCTCCGACCACGAGTTTCCAATTTTTTTGGGCTGACCACGAATTGAGCACGGAGACGATGAAGATATTTAGAGCCGAAGGTAATCTCCGACCGCGGATTGTGATATTTTTCTGCTTCTTTTCAATTTTTCCGATGGGCCGCAAGACGGGCGAGGGAATGACAATGGCGTTGGGGCGTGGAGAAATAAGGGGCAGTCTCACATCTTAGCCCTAGTTTTAGTAAAAGGGATTATTGCCGCCTAATATTTTGCTATGCATAAAATGGCACTCGTTTCAATTTTTTTGGTTTTGAAAGGCGGGTAACTTATAATTCCAATAATTATATAATTATTAAGGAAATAAACTCCTATTCTAACTGTCAAGTACTCAATAATAATAAAAATAATATAGACTGATATTTAATCATCGACAATTATAAAATAAAATAAATAATGATATAAAAACAATAGATAAATCGAGATTAATGTTATTTATATATTTAATTTATAATAAAATCGTAATATTGTTTTCCCGTACATCGCAGAGACCACGCACTAGTGATAAGCTAAACAGTCAAACATATTTCAAATACTAGTTAACAATATTATTAAATTGGTGCATTTGCCATAAAGTTTAACTAATTAATAGGAAAATGTATTCGATTATGAAAATTGATCATAATACCTATTCAAAATATGAAATAAGTACATTTTTAGAAAATGAAACTATTAACGCTAAAAGTGATATTTATAAGCACTGTCATTTGCTTTATAATGTATCTAAATAATTTATAAGCTTCTTTTATTTAAATGAATTTTTGTAAGCAATGTCATTTACTATACAATTTATTTAAATTAGCTTCTTATATTCAAATAATTCTCTTCTAGTAAGTTGAGCTCATAAAATAGCTCGAGCTTATCTTAAATGATATTTTGGTGACAATTAAAAATGATCATTGAAATTTTTATTTGTTAAGGTATTTTTACAAAATAAATTATATATTAGCTAGTTGATAAGTTGTTATAAGCTTAAAACAACCTTATCAACTAGTATCAATTAACTTCCTAGTTAAATCTACCGCAATTTACCATAAATATTTGTTGTATCTTCGGATTGCTCAATTATATATACGTCTATTCGAAACAGAATGATATATATATCTAAAAATAAAATAAATATGTTATATTCTTGTAATATATATTTAAAACCATATATATTCATGTTATTTGATGACAGTCGGTTTTGCCAACAAGATTACGAAGCGGTAATATGCTATTTTGATGTTAAGATTTGAGATTTGAAAAAGACTGAAAAGAAAATTAAGACAATCGACGAATAAGGTACTTGCGCTAATACGCTTGTATAGAAAATATAGTAAAATTATTGCAAAATAATCGAGTAACATTGATATAAATAGAAGATAATTAGAAGTTTAGAACCATGGTTACGTTGAAGTGATTTAAGTTGCTACACATGTTTAACAATTAAAAAATCATGGAATAATTAAAAACTTACAAAAGGAAGTTTATTTGAATTTATCAAATGACTTAATTACTGTATGGTAAACAAAAATAAAAAAAATAAAAAAAATATTGATGTTGCCTCAACATAATCATTTATTAGCATGATATATTGTCCAAATTGTATATACTTATGGGCAAGACATTTAATTTATTGCTGCGACTTTTGTAGCGTAACCTATCTATATGTTTCCATGAATACCTAGTGTTATTATTTAAATTAGATACATGACTATTTTATTTACTAATTTTCATTTATAAAACAATATATAGAAAAAATTACATTTATCTTCAAAACTTGAATAGTTTTGTGATGTGCATAGGTACTTCTAAGGTGAAAATTATAATTTTGAATTGTACTCGACCATCAGACATTAATTTTATTAATATATTATTTTAATTTTCAATAGTATTATCATTAGAAATGGTAATGGAGATTTACCTTTTTATGGTTAAATTAACTACATTTTAGAAAATTTTATTAATATTTTAAATTATTCGTATGATTCAAACATACTTATTCTGAATATTTTATTAAATATTTTAAATACCTTTGAACTATAAATATAGTTAATTAAATTTATATCTATAACCATAAATAATCAAATCAATTTTGTAATATTTTTTTTTAATTCAATCAATAAATTACTTTGAAATTAATATAAACATCTTATTGAAAATATATCTAATCTACGGTCAAAATAAATTCATTTAATTCAATTTATAGTTAACGAATATTAGCCATTGAGTACACAAAATTAATTAGTTTTTTTTTAATCTACAAGATTTTTGTTAATCAATAAACATTAATTAAATATCAAATATAGATGAAAAAAAAAACCACATCCAAAACCTTGCAAATTATGGCAATATGGATTGGTCCATTATATAGATATATATTCTATTCGATAAAAAAAATAATATTAATCAATAGTTATTTTGTCATTGATTCTTATAAAATGAAATATAATATATAAGTATACAAATATGTACTTATATATCACATATTGAATCCTAAAATATCAAACAAGTAAAATGAAAAATATATGTAATGAATTTATACCTTATGCTATATGTTTTGGGATGAGGGCTTGTGTTGGCCCTATTAAATAAACATGGATCTACCCACGATTTCAATGAATTATTGTGTTAAAATTTTCATAGGAAAATTCAAACCGGAATAATAACATTGAGATATTTGTTAGAATTGTCGTTCAAATTTTGTTATAATACATTTTCGTTGGAATTTCATAATTTTTTCAATTTATATCGCTCATTCTATTTCGAAAAGACATATATGATTTATCAGTCTGATCGGGTAGAAGATTAAGTCATAGTATGAGGCGTTCACGGCCGGATATCCAAACCTGAAATATTTCCAATGGCAGCATGAAATTATCAAAAGAACCAACAAAATTGATGAGTTTTATTGAATTAAAATTTATATTAATGTATATCATAACACAATCAAAACTATATTTTTACAATAATTTAAAATTTTACTTTTATTTCATATATATTAATAAAAGTTGGTGTTGTCAAAGCACTTAAATATAAAATAATTATTTCCAAATCATATATTACAAGAAGTACGTTTGGCAATCTTAAAATTATTTATTATTTATTTTTGTTCGTTCTGCTTGATTAAAAACAAACTTCCGTTGCATTAACGTTTGGTGTGAAACAGTACGTTAATGAATGTAACCTCCTTATAAGGATTTGTTTAAGTAATTAAAGAAAAATTAAGAATAAAAAATATTTTTCCTTATAAGGATTTGGTTCAAATAAAAAAAAAAAGTGTAAAAAAAACACGAGAACACTTTTTTTAACGGGGTGTAATGTTTTTTTTATTGTGTTTGGTATAATTTTTCATTTATAATTTATTTTTAAAAACAAAAATACTACACATAAGGGAATTGGGAATATACATTGATTTAACATGTTTTTTGTGTTACTTATAAGATTTAACTGACCAATTATATATTTTTTAACTACTTATTTATAATTATTATTTTACTATTTTTATATTACACAACTTGTATCAATTCACTCCCCAAACTTTAAAAAATCACACGACCTATACATTAAGCTGGTCAACCCGTCACTTTTTTTTTTTAATGAAATATGAAGATAATCGAGCTCCATCTTTTTGGCTCAGCAAGAGATCAACCAAGTCGATCATCAAACCAATCTCTAACATACTTTTAGAAGCTTGATTGAATTTCGAAGCAACTTTTGAACAACGATAAAACAAAGCATACGAAGCAACACCAAAAACATATTTATGAATTTCGAAGCAAAACTGCATCGCCCAAGTTAACAATTAACGAATAGAACAAAGAATCAGGCTTGACCCATAGTACCTTGAATTCACTCGTATAATTACACAAACAGTATTGGAGAAAATACCAGAAATCGAGTTCTGTGTCGAAAAAAAGGAACTCTGTTTTGTTATATTTTAGCATATGTAATGAACATTGGACACTGGATGGCGACAATAAAGACCCGAGGCTTTCCATGGCAACCAAGGCCATGGAGTTATTTCATATTCCATACGAACTTGTCTATAGCCTTCAAACCCTTTGAAAACCAATTCCACAATGAGGCTATTTGTTTACGGCGGTAGATATTGTACGGAGGGAATACTGTTGGGCTCTGTGACCAGTTTTCCTGGTCGAGGAGCAGCCTGCATAATCAGTTCTATTTATGAAAAAATCTTCGAAGAAACATGAACTCAAGGTTGAATTTTTTTAAGATAATAATAATCTTTCATGAGATTATGTTCATAAATAGTGGTATGAATAAGGGCTTGTGTTGTGTTGCGTTTGTGTGGGGTCCACACAATAATACAAGACAAAGAACCCAATAATCCGGATAAGAAAGGAATCAAAGTCCTATTTTTCATTTAGCTAAACAAATCCACAGTACTTCTAGGGAAGGGACAATAGGAATGCATGTGTGCCTCATATTAAAGCATCAAAGGCACAAGATGTTGCTTATTTTCACGACACGCCAACGTCGAAAGTTAGATAAACCCACAAATACTTTCTCACATAGCAGAGGACTAAAATAAGTATATTTGGTAGGTAAAAAAATATTGATTAAGTTGGGGGAAAAGAAAAAGAAACTCACAGATGACCCTTCATTAGTGTCTGTTGTTGAAACCGTTTGTTGTGGCAGTCTGCTGACCTTCTTAAGCACATTTCATTTTTTTTTTCAGCTGGATAAGCCAAGAAAAAATCGTTGCAAGATATCAGTGTGCACCTAAGTCGATATACCGTAAAAAATGAAATGCTTAAGCTATAGCTAAAGAAATTTACGTAACTTTTGGTAATCTACAACATATAAGAAAATGAAAAAAATCATATAACCCACATATCACTTCTGAGCTAAATTTTAAATCAGGAATATGCCCTCTGTATCGATGGTACGAGTGCATAACTACACTGCAACTCATTTGATAAGAAAAAAAGAAGGAACAATATAAAAAAAAAAACACTTCACAACAAATTTATGCAATTTTGAATTATTCAAACCCTTGAACTAAATCCACTTCCCATGGATTATTCCAAGCAATATTCACACCATGCATATAAAGAGTCAGCAAGCATAAAGAAGAGAATCGGCATGGCTCAACATTCAACAAAATATTTACCTTTTTCCTCTTGCTTCTTTTTCTTGTCATACGTACCTTCAGCTTTAGCAATACAATCTGATTATGATATAGCATATTGTATCCATTGCAGGGTATTTCAAATTATAATATCTAACCAAATAAAGCAACTTTTAACATATTGAGTGAGTTGACCACAGAGGACCTTGGTTCCACATCTCTCCACATACAAGGTGGGCTGCTGCCGCAATTGTTTTTTCCTCCCGACTGGCATGTGGCTCACGACATATGAAGCAATGATGGAGAACCATGGATCTCTTGTGGTGCAGTCCCAAAGCACTATTTAGTTCTATCATCCCAAAGAAATAACTTTTCGGTGTTGAAAAGGCCCATGATCCTAACAATAGTATAGTTTACATTAGAAAAATAAGCCTTCACCCGAGCCCAAGATTCGTGATTCCAAACTCAAATTTCAAATTCAAAACGGTCCATCAAACGGTCCCGGACCAACCAGTTCTCTATGTGAACAACAACAGCCAAGGATCTATCGAGCTCAACAAGACACAAATTGGACTATGGATCAACAGGAAAACGACTAGGAGGCAGAGGAATTTTAGCCCTCGGGAAGTCCTCATCACATAGTCGAAGGAATTGATACAGAAACGAGTACGACAAGGATATGAGGCCAACCAATAATGAAATCCATTTATGTAAATAGAGCAGCGAGCATAATAGAGTAGTTACCGAAAGAAGCCGACATCGGCTCATTACAAAACGCACTTGGATAGAAGTGGGTGCTGCACTCGGTGTCCGGAAACTGGAGCTAGTCGAAGACAACGTCGTACTTCCTTTCGTCGCAAGTTGAGATTAGGGCAGTCGGCGCCTCCGTTTGCTAAGCGCGTAGCCACGAGGAACGCCTTGTGAAGATATCCCTTCTTCCGATCAGGAAGAGACAATGACGTCGTCGGTGGTGCAGCGCCGGTCCTGCAGATTTGGGGGTTTTGATACGGGGTAGGAAAAAGAAAAATTTGATACAAATAAAATGAAATGCAATTTAGAAAATTTTGGTGGTTTATTTGATACATGTAATTATGTCTAGGATCAATGTTAAAAAATCAATACTTCAAGGCCTCTTATGTAAATTCATTACAAGTTTTTATTAGTAAGGGCATTTCAGTATTCACACAAATCCTTAGGGACAGTTGGTATTAATTTGAGGCATACCTGTTGTCATGCATGTACGAGGCAAGTACGAAGGGTACCTAACGGTAGAATTACCCATGTAAGTTTACGTTTATTACTTACAATTGATTATGTTTATTGTATTACTAAATACTAACTTGTAGTTGCCTAACTGGAACATATTTATTTTATTCCTTATTCTGTTATTCACGTATTTTATTGTATTATTATTTATGTTAATTTAATTAGTTAATTAGTTGATGTAATTAGTGAAATATGGAGTTTAGTTGGTTGTTATAATTTTATTATGTTGTGTAATGTTTAAAACATAACATGTAGATAATGTGTTTGATAAAATTACAATGATAAGAATAGAAATTTAAAAGTTTGAGACTTAGGTGTATGGATTTATTAATTATAAATTATAATTTTATTAGTGAAATTGTGAAAATAAATAAAAAATAATACATTTATTATAATTTCTAGGCTCCGCCTAGGCCCCGACTAGGCGCTCTAGGCGCTAGGCATTGGTCGGGCGCCTAGCGACTTCTAGAACACTGGTATAAACAGATATTGAAGTTTATATAAGAGTTGTTGTATATACGAAGTTGCGTGTTTGACAGTGTATGTTGGATTCACAATATTATTATTTTTTTGTTTATTGGTCCATTTTTTGTTTTCATTGATGTTTTGTGAGTGGGGTATAGTGCCATTAATGTTATTTCGTTAA